CTTTTGGTGCAACAGCTGGGGCATGAGCTCTCCAAGCTGTTCCAGGCTGAGCTTAGGAGCTAAGTATGTGGTCCAGAATCACATCACTAGCATACTACATACCTGTGTGCTTACTACATAGCCTTAAAGAGTAGAGCATTAGGGGGTGCCAGAGGTATGCATCCACAAAGAAAAGACTGAAGGAAGGACATACCGTATTTTTCGGAGTATAAGATGCACCTTTTTCCCTCAAAAAAGAGGCTGAAAATCTGGGTGCGTCTTATACACTGAATACAGCATTTTTTGCCTCCCGAAACCCCGCCCCCTTCACCAAAATGGCCGTGCTTAGTCTTTAGGAGTCTTGCAGAGTGCTCCTGGGGGCTGGGAAGGGAAGAAATGAGCAAAAAATGTGCCATTTTTGCTCAATTGTGCCCCTCCCCCAGCCCCCAGGAGCACTCTATAAGCCTCCTAAAGGCTATGCATGCCTCTTTTTTTTGACAAAAAATGGGCCCATTTTTGTGAAAAACGGGCCATTTTTTGCTCGTTTTGGGGGAGCACCCCCCAGGAGCACTCTATAAGCCTCCTAAAGGCTATTCATGCCCTTTTTTTGAAGAAGAAAAAACGGGCCTGTTTTCGGGAAAAATGGGCCATTTTTGGGGGGTCTGCAAAGTGCAAAAACTTTTTAAAAAAAAATTGCCTCTTCAAAACCATGGTGGGTCTTATACTCCGGTGCATCTTATACTCCAAAAAATATGGTACTCATTAGTCTTGGAAAAGTCACGTTTGATGAGCAGCCACAGTAAGCTGCTTTAGGTTCAATTGCCTTTTCACTTCTGTTTTGATCTGAGACAGGTAGCAAAAGCTCACGGTGGAGCAAATTCTCACAAGCATGTGGCCTTCTTGTGGGCAAAGAGTCTTGGTGGAGAGGCTGCCATGAAACTCCTCAACAAATTTGGACTTCTGGAAATGGCCATTGACCATGCAGCTGACAACAAGTGAGCAGCAAGGAGAGAAAGACTTACTGGTGTATCCAAGTAAGGTCTCCCATTGCAAAGGAGGCAAGATCCACCAATGCCTTGTCTCATACCAGAGATTCTCAAGGGGTAGAACCTGCCCATAGGTTTCCACAAGGCATGGGGTTCTGCAATAACTACGGGTGCCCTTTCTTGTGTGGCTTGAGTGGGGTTTTCTTGCTGTTTCTTTTGTAATCAGGTTGGTTTTAACCTCATGTGATAGTTGCCCAATAGTTTTCACTGCTGAAATTGAAGTGGTTTGGGATGGGAGACCTAATTCCTCCTTCCACTCCTTTTCTTCTTCCATAGCATTTTTGATTTTGCCTTTGAGTTGGCTAGACTCTCCCTGAAGCAGAAACTACCTGAGATCCACTTCAAATATGGCTCTTTCCTGGAAGATGAGGTAGAATCCCTTGTGTTTCTTAATGGTTGCTCTCCTTCCTGGAGTAATGCGGTAGTGAATATGTCACTCTTGTTAAATGCAGGGCAAGTTTGAAGAGGCAGAGGTGGAGTTTGTGAAGGCCGGGAAGCCTAAAGAGGCAGTTCTAATGTGAGTGTACCTCCACTCTCCTATGATACTCTTGATTTCTGCCTCTGTCCTATTCCAGTGGTTTCATGTGCTCCCAACTCACTTAGGTATGCTCATGCCCAGAACTGGACTGCTGCCCAGCGAGTAGCTGAAGTCCATGACCCAGAGAGTGTAGTCATTGTGCTAGTTGGTCAAGCTGATGCTGCCTTCAAGCAAAAAGAGTTCCAGAAAGCAGAAGCTTTGTTGCTGCGGGCTCAGCGACTTGACCTTGCTGTGAAACACTACAAGGTAAATAGAAAAAAAACGCCAGGACTGGTCTATTTGACAAAATGTTTTGGTTGGGTTTGGAGATGTTTAGTAAACTCTGGTCCTGCGTGAAATTTACCGTAGATGGCTTTGAAACCCTGATTTGTTATCCAGTTGTTAATTCTATGGCCGTGAGGAAGCCATTCTATTTAGACCAAATACCATCTTATTAAAGCTTATTAAAGGGATTTCCAAAGAAGTTCCATTTGACATTCTCTGCAACCAAATTGTGATCGAAACATGATAGCATTTCTTTGGTGATGGGAGCTGTAGATGAAATTGAATTTCAGAGAAGCATGCTAGCTTCTTCTCCTCCTCCTGTTCTCCCTAGCAATGCCAAAGATGCTGGTGGCCAACAACATGGGACATTGGCTTAGTAAAACAAGCAATTATTTTGAATGATTGATTGCAAATTAAGTATGACCCCTTGCAAATTAAATATGGTCTGATATATCCTTCAGTGATCTGGCAAGGCAAATTTCTGCTGCCTTCCCACAACCAATGTAATGGGAAAGCCAGCAGGAAGTTAAAAGGGCTAGGCCAGCAGGCAGGTAAGTAGCTGCTGCTGGGTGGGGGAAGTGAGAGGATGCATGGGAAAGGGCCTACAAGAGTTGGGGAAGGTTTGCAAGGGCGTGTGTGAGCACGTGAGTTAGGAAGGGTACATGGGGGTGCAATACAGATCAAGAAGGAAGCATGATGTACAGCACCAGTCCATGAGGGGGTGCAAATGGCTGGCCTTGCATGAGCACAGAGGGGCTGGGAGAGACTGACCAGTGACCAGTGACCTGCAACCTTCCTGCTGGCTTCCTATTGACTTTCTGGGGAAACTGATAGGGAAGATTGTTAATGGTGATCACAGGGCATTGTAACTGGTTGTATATGCAAACTGATTGCCAAGCACCAGATTGTGACCATGATCTACCAAGGATGCCATAACCTGTCACAACTGCTATTCATTCAGTACCATTTGTTAGGTAAGCTCCCTGTTGGGAGAGCGAGTACGTTCAGAGAAGCATTGTGAGAGTGTTGTTGGAGAACACACAAACCAGCATAGAGAGACACTGCAGTTTAAATAGGCTTTTACTTTCATGGAAATAAGAGGTATCAGAGTCCATCAAACAGTCCAAGTCATACACGCAAAAGACAGTCAGTCATCAATGTCTTTCAGTTAAGGGATAATCCAAATAACATAGTCCAGTATCATATAATCAGTTCGGTATTCAAAGTTTGCTAGCAGTTGCAAAACTTACAATAGCTCACGGCACTTCCAGCTTCCAAAAACATCAGATCAGATCAGATCAGCCCAGTATCTAACAAACAGAGAGAGCTAACAGTCATTCTGGCTCTCTCTTATGGCCGGATTGAGGAAACAACCAATCACATTTTACAGTATGATTTAAAGAAACAGGTATAGCATTGTTACATGATTTATATATTGCCAACCCAACCGTTAGATTATATTCCTAACACCATTGTCACTTTAAACAGTTGCTGAATAAATAATCCTGTCAAGGACTATCTATAGTTCCTAAGGCTGGAAGTTATGACAATTATAATTATTACAATTGTTCTTTTATTTACGGGGAAAAAAGATAAGTAGAGGGGTTTTTCCCTTTCTCCTTTGCCAAGTAAGGATACTTTTCATGATTCTTTTCCCAAGGAAGCTGCTATGTGGACTGATGCTCTCCGAATCTGTAAAGAATTTCTACCTGGAGATCTGGAAGCTCTACAGGAAGAGTATGAACGGGAAGTGGCTAAAAAAGGACCCAGGTATATAGGTCATGAGAGGTATGGGAAAATTGGCTTGCAAAAGTCACTTAGGCAAGTCACTCAGCCCTAAGATCAAGGCCTGATTTTTCAAAGACCTAATCACTTTGCCTTCTTTTATTGAGGTTTCTACAACTAATTGCTTCAAAGGACCAGGATCTCCTCTTTAAGCTATCTCTGGGACTATCCTAATTCTATGGGATGGGATAGATTGGAGTTTCCACATCAAGTTGTAGGGAATCTCCTGGTCCCTTTGTGGCATTGACTAAGATTCTGTTGATTGGTAGGGGCATCGAGGGCCTCCTGGAGCAGGCACGTGAGTGGGAGCAAGCAGGCGAATATGCCAGAGCTGTGGACTGCTATCTCAAGGTGCGGGACCCCAGCAACAGTGCACTGATGGAAAAATGTTCCATGAAGGTAGGAAATTGCTCGAGGTCCACCTTGCCTTCTCTGTTTATAGTTCAGTTGGATGCACACAATGTACTTGAAGGAGAGAAATGGAGAAAAGTTGGAAATTGAAAGACGTGTCTGTGGGGGAATTCTTTTGGCAACTGAGACACTGAGCTTGTCGATCAGAAAGATTGGCAGTTGGTGGTTCAAATCCCTTGTATAGGTCTCCTGCATGAGCAGGGGGTTGGACTAGATGACCTCCAAAATCCCTTCCAACTCTGTTACTGTTAAATCAATTGCGCCTCTGCTTCCTTCTTACATTTGAGCTAGATTTGATCTTTGATTGTCCTTGATCAGTTGCTCATTTTCTAAAAGTTCATAATTCCCATTCCAACGGGTCTCTGATAGAGTCTTGTAAGCTGTAAATCATTATGGCAGGAGTCTCTGCACAAAGAAAAAAATACTGCACAGGGGACATTTCTTCATTTGTGAATGCTTCTTTTCATGTCAGGCAGCTGAACTTTCTATCAAGTTTCTTGGCCAGTCTCGGAGCATTGAGGTGATGAGGACAGTGGGACCCCAGCTTGTCAGCATTGGCAAGTTCAGCGTGGTAAGAGTAAATCTCTGAAGGGCAGTTCAGTCTCATCTGTGTTTGAACAAACAATTCTTTCCCGGGTTTTTTTTAAGATTAGAAAGAGGACAAGGGGGATAAAAATATTCCAGTAAAACATTTTATTTTAGAATACTGAAAGAAAAGATAAATGTTTTCTATTGTTATAGGAAAAGTTTTATATATACAGAAGAGAAGCTGTGCAGCCCAGGTCTCTGATGCTAATAAAAAATGAATTTCTGTCCCCCGAGGGCAAAATGCTATTTTTACCAATGAAGGAGAATTTAGTTTCTGTGAAAAGTTAATATCTGTGGCTGACTTTTATATAGAGGTTGGTAGGTCAGTTGACTAGCCTCAAAGGATAAAAGAAGCATAAAGGAATGCCAGAACAAATGTTTTAAAAATCTTTAAAAGTAAATTCAGTTATTCAAAGTAGTCACTGATGAAATTAGTTTTACATTTAAAAAATATTCCAAGCATAATTGTATGCAGAAACATGTCAGACATATTCTCCTGTATGTTTTTAACTTAGCCAAGTGAATTTAAATTGATAAAATGTGGCATGCAAATAAATATTGCATATATTTTAATTTTCCCCAACATTTCCATTTTTTGAATAGTTTTTTTACCGTAGTTTCAAAACTCCTGGGAAGTTTATCTCTTCTCAGGCCAGACATGCAATGAGCCTACAACCACTCTGTACAGCCCCAAACATCATATCTACTTCTATTTTAATACGCAATAGAAATTTTTTCATTTCTATCCTCAGGCGGTAGAGCTATACCTCAACCTTGATCTAATCAAGGAAGCCATCGATGCCCTCATGGAGGGGGAAGAGTGGAACAAAGCTAAGTGTGTGGCCAAAGAACTTGACCCCAGGTACTAAACTCTGCTTCTGAGAGTGATTTGCAAATAATACACTTTGAATAAGAATATATAATGCTGCTTAGGTAGAAGGCTGTCAGTTTCTCAGGTCTCCTGTTGCATCACCTTATTACTAAGGTTACCTTATTACTAGGACAGAAATGACAAATTTCCTTTCTGGCAGATATGAAGAATATGTGGATCAACACTATAAAGAATACCTCAAGAATCAAGGCAAAGTAGATTCGGTGAGAAGGAATCTTGAATGGGATGAATGGGAAAGTGGGAGGCACTGAAAGTTGGGAGAGAACTTCAAGTAAATTGTTTGAAGAACCTTTACGTCTATATAAATAGAAATGTGACAGATTTTTGAAGTGCAACTTAAATTGAATACATCTGTCATTGTTCTATCAATATTTATTTTTGAAAATGTTAAAAACTGTCTTGATGCAGCCAAACATATTATTTGGCAATTCTAGAAGGAGACTAGAGAATATGAGATGACATTAAGTGTACAAAAGATAGAACAGGTTGGTACTGCTGTATCATTATTGTTTAAAGTGACTGACTTATAACTGATCTCTCTTTGACAGCTTGTGGGCGTGGATGTTATGGCTGCCCTTGATATGTATGTGGAAAGGGGGCAGTGGGAAAAGTGCCTGGAGACAGCTGCCAAACAGGTATATAAAAAGTCCAAGTGGTTCTATGAAAAGAGCCAAATGTTGTCTGACCACACACCCTAAGCATCTTCCCAAAAGCTATCTAAAACATTGAGTTTGAAACCAGATGGAATTGAGTCCATTTTCCATTCACCACTGCTTTAGTTAGGGGCCAAAGATCTGTCTGCAAAAGAGACTGAAAAGCAATTGTTAATTAAACAATGAAAGCCAGTTTGATCTAGTGGTTAAGACAGTGGGAGACTGTGAGTTCAAGTTACTTAGCCATGAAAGCCAGCTGGATGATCTTGGGCCAGTCACTCACTCTCAGCCCAACTCACTTCACAGAGTTGTTACGGGGAAAATAGGAGGTGGGAAGTGAGTTGGATATATTTGTGGCCTTAGGTTATTTGTAAAACTAATAAAGGCAGCTTACAAATAAAGAACAAGCATGAGATGGATAGTTATGTAAACCAAATGTATAAATAAATAAATAGCTATCACCCTGCTGGCACTCCCGAAAGCCTTAAAAGACCAGGCTGTTCTCTCAAGCTTTGGGTGGTTGCCTTCACTCCCTCAGATTGCACATGGTTAGAAAAATACACCATCACTTCTTGTTTTATTTTTATTCTGTTGGTTGTATGGCATGTTGCCCTGAGCCAGTTTGGAGATGGGTATTAAATTCATTTAATTGAATGAATTAAATCATCAATCAAGGCATCATGCCGAGCCTTCAGAAGTAATTGGCATTTCTGTTGGAGTTATACTGACATTGTCTGTTCAATGTAGTGCTGCCTGCCTGCGCAGAATTGATTGGGATAAAATTGGATTTCAGAACTGATGAATGGAGTATCAGTTTGGACAGAATGCAAACAAAGGCATGATTTGTTTTTCCCACTACGAAATGGGAAGCACTAAAGATACATAGTTCACCCAGAAAGGAATTTTCCCACTTGACCAGATCATTTCTCATAATGGAAAACTGCTATTTGTTTTACAGTTTTCCATATTATTTTGTTACTCTTTTGGCTTTTTATAGAACTATAAAGTGCTGCATAAATATGTGGCTCTTTATGCCACATACTTGATCCGCGAGAACAATTGGGACAAAGTCTTGGGCCTCTATGTTCAGAATGGTGCTCCTGCCAATGCCCAGGTAAGATATAGTCCCAGCTGGCTAGGAAAATTTGCTTGCTTCTTCTTTTTAAAAAAATAGAATTTATTTTTATTTTCAAAACAAACACACATAAAATCTTCCTTCTTTACATACTCTAGAAAGTGTATCAGTTGGTTACAAAAGGTTTTCGTGCATCTCTTCCACAGTCATCAAGCATAATTCATATTAACTCAAGTATTTTAACTCAAATATTTATACTGTTACCCTTATACCTCCATTTTTATTTGACTATAATTAAACGTCCTTCATCATAAAATATACCAAAATTTAATACATAAACACATACTGGCATGTCATTTAATATTTCTAAAATCCTCCAATAACACTGAATCCTTATGTCCTATTCTAGCTAAACATTCATAATATTTAATAACAAACTTTTCTAATCTTCCTTTCCAAATCGCTGTTGGCAATTTTCATCTAAAATTTGCTTGCTTCTGTTCATAGCAAAGCTCTTCCCACATTTTCTCTTCAGAATTTCAATATCTATAAACGACTATTTGTGGAGATGGTGAATGCAGCCAATATGAATCGCTCAGAGGCTTATCACAGCTGGGCTGATTTGCGGGACGTGCTTTTCAACCTGGTAAGTACGGCTTAAAAGTAAATTATGATGTACCATTGAATGTAAAGTGCCTGATCTTCTTTTTACTCCTCTCTGCACTGCTGCTAATACCACACAAAAGTTTTCCTAAGTAAAGCTGCAATGCAAAATATCTGTGTGGCACCACTCTATATTTTCAGAGAGTAGCTTTTTCATTACTCAATCTCTTTGGTGGGGTGAATAAAATGTTTAGATGGCCTTAAATAAGGTGAGGTGTTTCTTTCTTTTTAACAAATATGTAAGATAAAGATCTTTTTTCCCCCAATTTTAAGTGATTAAGATTCCAGCAAACTTAACATGATCCCCTTTCTTACAGTGTGAAAATTTAGGGAAATCAAGTGAAGCTAATTCACCAGCTCATGAGGAGTTTGAAACCATGTTGCTTATATCCCACTACTATGCTACACGATCTGCAGCCCAAAGCATCAAACAGCTGGTAAGAGAAGGGTGGCAGCAAGTCAAAGGGATTTAACCAGTTTTCTAGTCTCTGGCTTGTTCCTGAACACCAGCTTTCTTACTATTTCACTACCCCAAGCATGGAGTTCTGATTGCATTATCTTTGATACAGTATTGGCCCTGCTAGTACAGCTTCAGACTTAGATGGCTACAAAGTCTGTGGGCCTTGTGCAACTGGCAACCAAGTCTGTTTGCTTAGGTTTGCTGGTCATGAAAGAATAGTTCTTATGACATCTCTGAGTCATTTGTTTACAACTTAATTTTCTCATGAAGAGTCCTATTTTCAGAACTTTTCTACTTTTTAGATTCATTGTGTACTAGCTGAATACCCGTGTTCCGCTATGAAACTATGTGAGCAGGCTTGATCAATTGACTTACAGCTTGAAAATTAATGAGTAGTTACTATCAGCCTCTCCTCTCACCTTCTCTCCCTTAGGCTTGCCTCACAGAAGCCCCACCTTTCTTATCACCTCCTCTCCAACAGACTCCTCTCCAAACTCCCAGCCAGCAGGCGGATGGGCAGCATGCCCATGTCCAAGTTTTCAGGTTGGGAGGGAGAGTAGAACGTCTAACTTCTTAGCATCAGAGCGTGTTAATAATAATATACAAAATACTAAGATCTGATAGTCATTTCAAAAAATCCTTTGTTAACGAGCACCTAGAAGCCAAGAGGAACATATGTGCCAAACTTCAAGTTTGTAGGCTTTATGGTTCTGAGATTTCGTGATTCCTGTGTGAGTGTTTTCGCATTTATATATATAGATTTCACTCTGCGCAAATATCAAATTGCAATCCTTGATAACCAAGTTCTTTTCCTGAGACTTTGGAGGGAGAGGGTGACTCTCTCAACTCATTTAACTTATGACTTATCATTACAGTAGTATTTTTAAAAAGAAGGCAAGGGTGGGGCAACTAGCTCCACTTGAATAGACTGCCTTTGTCTGAGAAGGGCTGGTTTGCCAGAAGACGTGTCATCTCTTAAGAATGGAAGCTAGGGAGCAGAGTTTGAGTTTGTGGTTTTTCGCCTCCAGGAAACTGTGGCAGCCAAGCTCTCCATCTCTTTGTTGCGTCATACTGAGATCATTCCAGCAGACAAGGCCTTCTATGAAGCAGGAGCAGCAGCTAAGGTGAGGAAGCTCCTGTTTGTAGGTCACATAAAGGTAGTTGGTGGGGAAAATATGTGGTCAATTAATGCCAAATAAGGCAAAATGGAAAATGGCTGGTTCCTTGTATGCCTGGTAGGAATGTGACAAACTTGCTGTCAGCTCTGAGACTGACCTGGCTGAAGCCGTTTTTCTTGTGCCTCATAGTTGCACAAACTTTGAAGGGGGGAAAAGTAGACAGACAGGCTACTTGGTCAAAACAAAAAGTTTTCCTGTGGTAACCAAGATCATCCCAGATGGCAGAGGAGTGACCAAGCAGCCTCCCAGTTACCTTCATTGAACAATGTGACCGGTGACACCTGGGGAGGGAATATTTGCTTTTTTAATTAGGGGGGAAACTGCGGGAACCGTTAGAGTTGGTTTTCACTAGCTGCGCTGATTTGAAGTGTCCAATAAACATGTTCTTTGAGGAATATACCTGTCTCTGAGTTCTGCTTTTGGTGGATGCAATACTTAGAATCCTGACACTTGCACTGACTTCCTGAGGATTCCACCTCTTACATTCAGAATCACCTTTAGATTTTACCTTTCAAACAAATGATCTCCAGAAAATGTTTAAAAGGGTTAAAACATTTTACAGTATAAGAATGACCAAATGATCAAGAGAACTGAAGCAGTGTATCTACCATCTCATTCCAGATAGACTCTAGGCAGAGACTCTAAGGAATTACAGTTGGATTCTTGAGCATGGTAAAAGGAAAGATGGGATACAATACAATATAATACAATACAATACACAGCACTAGTAAAGTGGAGAAGAATCATTGTTTTCCTTTCTCAAAATATTACTCATGCTCATCCCATTAAAGTTAAATGGTGGCAGATGATTGACACAGTGCTCATTTAAACTATGGAATTTACTTTCACACTGTAACAATGCCTGCCAATTTAGGTACCTTAAAAAGAGGATTCAACAAGGTAATATATTGTGATGTTTATAAGTTTCCCAACCAGTGACCTTATTTTTTACAGGTCTTGCAGAAAAAAAGTCTTTTTTTGTTCATATTATGTTTGGCAGGCTTTATAGTTGCATCTATCCTATCAGATTACTGTTGAATGAGAACATTAGATTATCAAGTCTTCATCCCACAGATAAATGTGAGAGAGTGATTATCGGTCTCCTTTGACTCTAATTAAACTTTTTTAAAAAAAAGTAGTACTTTTGTGGAGCACAATTTCCAATATGCTACTCAAAAGTCCAGCAATCATAGCTTGAAAACATTTGAACGCTCTTGCCATGTTGAACTGAAATCAGATTTGACTTTTGGCAGAGAACTGGGAAAGATAGTTTATCTTTCTCTCTTTCCTCTTTCCAGGGTGTTGGTTGGCAGAACATGGCTTTTATCTTCCTAAACCGTTTCCTTGATTTGACTGATGTGAGTTTTATCGGAGACTCTTGAGAGTGGTGGGGAGGGAAAAGGATTCCATGTTTTTCCTTTCTGATGTTATTTGCTCTCCTAGGCAATTGAAGAGGGCTCCCTTGATGCTCTAGACCACTCAGACTTCCAGAATACAGATATCCCTTTTGAAATACCACTGCCTGCCAAGCCACATATCTCTGTGAGTGTGTTCTCATATGCATACACAATTTCAATCCATTTGTATTATGAGCAGAGAGATAATATTTCTAAGGGGCCTTGGAAAAAGGACATTTCTTGCCCAATCCCCAGTCCAATTGACTTGCGCACTTCCACCACCCATCCCAAGTATTACTGCTGCCGCCACTTTTCTTTCATTCTGAGCATCATATGTCTATCCGTGCTAGGAAGACCAGCGTGAGGAGATCCGTGACTGGGTTCTCACTGTCTCCATGGATCAGCGGTTGGAACAGGTTTTGCCACAAGATGAACGTGATACTTACGAAGCTTCTCTGGTAGCGGCGAGCACAGGTGTGCGCTCTCTGCCCTGCCTTATCACAGGTGAGCAGAGCAGTGTGGCATTTCAGCATGGCTGAAGCCATGACACAACATATTCCATCTTCTTTCCTCCATAAGATTTTCTAACGGTGCCTCTCCCCCACCCCAATATAAACGTCCATTTTTTCAGACCCTATTCTCGTCCACTGTGGTAGAAAAAGGGGAGAAAAAGTATTTTAATTTTTGTCCCATAGTTGTTTAGAAAGTCCCTCTTCTTCCAAACAGAAAAATATATGATGCTGCTTTGCTTACATTCCGAAGAATGTTAAACTTAACCTCTACTCTCCATTTGATTTCTTTTAATATGTTGTGCCTTTAACTAAGACACTTATCACTATTCAATTTTTTTGTTTTGCCTAATATATATTTTAGCATTTACTTCTGTACATTTTAACTTGTAAGTTTTTATCTTGAAAGATTATTTTAAGCATTTCATATTTTTAAAATCATATCTAAGAGTTCTGACTAGTGATGAAGTTTTCTCACTAAAGAAAGCTAATTTGTCCTGGTTGAATCCATGAGTCCATTTGTAGTTATCTGTAACTACTTGTTTTTAAAATTGTTCATTGCGTTACGATAGGCAATAAAGACAATTACAGCATTCAGAATGAATTAATCTAACTATAAGGATTACTCACAATTTTTCAAAACAAAGATATAGTAGAGTAAAATAATAAAACACAAGGCACCATGTATAATTTAGGGGAGAGGTGCATTCCAGACCATGGGAGTAACCATGGAGAAGGCTTGACAGACCTTATTCACACCCTATGAATTTCACAATGGAAAGAATTTCATCAGGACACTCATAAATGTTTGAACTGGATTGGATGGATAGAATCAATTTTTTAAGTGTTTGATATCTTAACCATTACACCAGACTGGTTCATTAGTCATGTCTGATATACTTTGTTTCATGGCTGATACAATTTTGTGCTATGCACAAAATATCATATGTATATACTAAGGCTACAAGGGCACTTACAGCTAGTCCTCCACTTCTTTTAGTGATCAAAGTTACAACGGTGCTGAAAAAAGTGACATAAGTTTTTCACACTCAACCACTGCAGCATCCCCCGTGAACATGTGGTCAAAATATAGATGCTTGGAAACTGATCCATATTTATGACAGTTGCAGTGTCCTGGGGTATTATTTTTTGCAACCTTCTAAAAAGCAAAGTCAATGAGGAAGCCAGATTCACTTAGCAACTATGGCAAGAAAGATTGTAACGTGTGACAAAACTCAATAGCTGCCTTGTTTAGCAATGGGAATTTGGGGCCAGTTCTGATCTTAAGTTGAAGAGTACCCTGTATTAAGGCATTCAATATTTAAAATAGTCCAAATTAATTTCTAGTGTAATTAAGAAGCTATCCTGAGGTTCAACAGAATACATAGAAAGATTTTGTGCTTGCCAAAATTTGAACAGAGAAATTATTTGCTGGTCAGGAACTTGCTCCTTCAGCTGAGTTTTACAATATGTGAGACCCTCTTTATGCCCTTTTAATATGTTTCGTTTTCCTTCTCCCCACTCAGGTTATCCTGTACTAAGAAATAAGGTGGAATTCAAGAGTCCTAGCAAAGAAGCAAACAAGGAAAGCTGGAATAAGTTTTTGATGGCAGTCAAGGTGAGGAATAGAATGAAGGTATAAGAAAGAAAGCTAGCAATCATAAGAGGAGAGGGCATAGGGCAACAAAAGTAGGCAAGCTTGCCCTATAGCCTAAATCTATAAACTTTGATCTCAGCCCTAGCTTTACTCATGCCTTTCTTGCAGATGTCACACAGCCCCCCCTGCCAGGATGTTCTCAAGTTCATCAGCCAGTGGTGTGGAGGGCTGCCCAGCACCAGCTTCTCCTTCCAGTGACCAATTCAACCAAAGCATTTCCTTAAGTCTTCAACCCCTTTTAGATATTTATTCTCCCATATTAAATATCTTGTTTATATAACGTCTGCCTTCTTTCATTGATGCGGCATTCATTATAGGTATGTCAAATGTCCTGCAACTCTAGAGACAAACTCAAAGGAGATGACCAAAGATAACAGGATGAAAGGGGAGACTGGAAAATTAGATTATAATGGTCATGTTGCATTGGAACAAAACTCACTTTTGCATGAGATTACATTTCAAATGGATTCAATAGGCAACTGCCTCCAATCTGTAATGGCTACTATATCTATTTGGCTACTGTGAACTGTTGAAGTTTGTGGTTTTATTCCAATGGATCTAAAGGCATTAGATGAGGAAGACTATTTAAATATTATTTATTTTCTCTAAAAATCCAAGCAGGGTCAAACCTGTTTGGTACTTGCAGTGGAGGCCACTAAGACATTTCAAGGCTATAAGCTAACTTGGATTTTTTTAAAAAAACCATCCTTCAAGAAAGCATTAATGAATGAATTCATGAAGGCATCTGGAGTTGAGTTCAATTTACCTTGACTTGGAAAAGGTGGAAGGAAAGAGAAGGTGATGACCAGTAGCAAGATCAATGAACTCAGTTACAGTACTGATGAATGCACCTTTGGAAGTTCCGAAAAAAAACAAGCATTGGTTGTCAGGGAAAATGTCATTAGGAGTCAAAAATGATTTGATCAATCAATCAAAGCCATGTGTAAATATCAACCAGCACCATGAGATGCAGTGGGAAGCTAACTGCAAAGACATAAGTAAGGGTCCTTCTGGCATGGCTTCTTAAGAGATGCAAATTTACCAAGAGCTTCAGATGACAATACTTTTTCCCTCTGAGAAAGGGCAGCCCCATCCAGATCTAAAGCTGGAAAGCTATTAAAAGATAAAAGAACTTGGAATCCATATCCAGTGTTGCTTGGGTTGATTCCAAACCTGCTCCTCACTATTCAGATCTTAACAAGCTCCAAGGTATGAGAGAACTGTGAGTTGGTTAGCCGAAGCTACACATTTTCTTCATCCATTATTGTAAGTCGGGCATTGGAAGCCTTATTTGTAACTTTGTTTAGTCCCCACAACAAGTGTTTATGCCTCCTGGTGAGGCCAGTTAATCCCTCAGAAAGTTGCCAATTACTAAGTGACAGTACTGTCATTGTGCTATTCTTAAAATGGCAACAAAGTGCTTCCTACTGGTTTTAGGTGGTTGGAGAATACAGATGTGCTAATGAGAGTTAATGTTGTTCTGTAGTTTTAAGGTGCAGAATGCAACAGAACTACTTTCCCCCCATGTTTAAACACTTCACCCATTTCATTTAGAAAGCAGTGATTATCATGCTATGAAGAATAAGTCTGAATTCAGCGCAAGTGTTTACATTCAAAATTCATTTTTTCATTCCAATCTGACCATGTGTTCCAACCTTAGGACACTTCCAAAAAGACTAAAACTTGCTCTCTCATTCTTGAAGTCACTTAAATTCAAACTGTTTTGCATACCAAGTGCTGATGCAATACTCCTAAGCCTCTTACACTTGTTCTAATTAAGAGGTTCTAATTAAACCGAATGATACAGGTAAGGACCCCAAACACCTGGTCCCCAAATCAAATTCAGCTGACTGATGCAACCCATGTGATGCTGTACATTAAAAGGGAGCAGGAGCCTGCAACTTACAATCTGCATATTCACCATTAGATAGAATTAATAAGTACCTTTTATCTACATCAGGAACTGTCTAAGGTAAAAGTAATCAAGTACTTAGGAGCTGAGGACTTGGCAGCACAAGGAAATAACAACCAATTGCCGGCCATCAATATACCAATCAACCAATAGGAAAGCACCACATAAATAGGAAACAGAATAACTTAAAGCACATATTCTGGTAGAGAGGAGTTCCCTGAGGATGGGCTCTAACATGAATCTGAAAGCTCGGAAGACTAAACCTCTGGTCCCAGTGATGGACCCAGACTGGATCTTGCAATTATCCTGGGACACATATATTTATTTGCCTTCATTAATAAAAGCAATAAACTCAGAACTATGGAAGATTTTTTCCTGTTCAACACAGAATTGTTAACACTGGAAGGTCTTCAGATATCAACCTACATAAAACCTTAGTACTAGGATCTTTTCCAGATGTTACCTAGACATAAAAATGTCTGCAAAAAACCCAAACAGAGAACTCACACAACCTAGAAACCAATATTATTTGCCTATAGAACATAGTTCCCAGACACCAAGGGAGCATTTTTCTTCTCTTTTTAAAGCAAAAGTTGTGAGCAATTTTTTGGTGACTAAGCAGAAGCCAAAATGAGGTTCAGATTCAACCTAGATGCAGTCAGTGGATGAGAGAATACCTTTAAAAATATGAAAGCAGAGATCAAGAAATTTCAGGAGTACAAACAGCCCAACACCAACCACTTGTACCCTTTCCCAAGAGTAGGAGATTGCACAAAGTGGCTCCTTTTAACTCTTGTGATTCCGATTCCCAGATTCCAATCACAAACAGGTTGCAGTTAATTATTTACAAAACAATTTATTAAAAATAGGAACAGAAATGACACTTGGAACAGCACCAGCACAGGAAGGGTTGAATTTCTCTGATAAACTGATAAACTGGCTCCAAGCCTGCAGGCATTAGATAATATCCTAAAGGAAAAGATGGTTTAACATTGCCACCTGCTATCTGAACTGGAACTTCCTATCTACTTCCTCTATTGACCAGAGTGAACCCTCACACCACACAATAGATGCAGCCAAGGATACTGGAAGCAAGGCTGGTGCATGTAGCAACTGTGGAGAGGAGGAGAGTCCATCTGGAGGGGGATAAGGCAATGACTGTGGGGCTAGAGAGTGCATGTGTAATGTGGAGGGCCAGCATGGGATGGGGTAGAACTTAACTTCTCTATCCCCCCCCCCACCCTTTTAAATAACAAGACAGACATCTGTGCTGTGCAAAAGAAAACCTCTGTACAATTCAAGCAAAAGAAAACTCCATGCATGTGAGCCCAAAAAGAGGGAGAGGGAAGGAAGGCCATTGGCCACAGGGAAAATAATACTGACAAGGCACACAGCCCTCCCCCCCACCTTGCCCCCCCTGCCTTTAAGACTGGCAACGATTGTCTGCAGGACCTGGCTATAACACATGCGGGAGGCACATCCAAGCTGGCAACGGTGGTGGCAGCGGCTTAGAGTAGTACCCTACACAGATGCAGAGCAGGTACACCTGCTAGCAGCAAAATAGCCATTATGATGATACAGTGACAGCTGCCAGTGCTCCATTCCGTGAGTAGAAGAACTTGTTGAATGCCTCTTCAAGTAAACAGCTAAGCCGGCTTTGATCAGCCTAGAAAAGAATGGGGGGAAAACACTGTAAGAAAACCTGCCCCTATAGTCTTACTGGCTACAATGAAGTTCCCCAGAAAAAGAAGAAAATAAGTCTTTTGATAAACAAGACTGAAACTGACCTCACTGATGAATCCTAACTGAACCAATTCAGCTGCCAGTTCCTGAATATTGTCACCTAAGGAAGGAAAATGAGAGAATGTGTATGTTCTCTACGATGAAACAGAAAAAAAAAAGAAGAACACACACTTACTGGGCAGTAGGTCACAGCTCAAGTGCCGATTCAATTTGTCTTCCAGTTTCAGCAGCAGTGTCAACTGAATGAAAGGTGGGGCATAGAAGAAAAAAGGAAATTGCATTTTCACCTTCAACACTAGGTAGAATTCTGCCCCAAAAGGGAATAGGCCATTGTAGGCAAATAAAAGCCCTAGACTGGTATAAGTCACCCAGCTTGAGGCAGGTACATACATGGTGCTTCACACCCTCCTCCACTGATTCAATGTTGCACTGCATCAAAAGCACCTGGAATGACAAAGGAGTGTGATAAGGTGAAGCTTTGCTATTATCGGCCAAGGAGCTGCGGATTAGCGACCAGCTACTCACTTTGCGAGTCTCCACTTCTGCTGGCTCTGGTGTTGGAGTCTTTACTGATGGGGGGGCAATGGGAGATTTCACCACCTCCTGCTGTGGCTGCTGAGGTCTGGGCAGGCCAAAGGCAGTAAGTGGATAAATTCCATTTCTGTAGAACCACAAACGGAATAACTCAACTCTACGTATTGCCTACTAATTCAGTGTACTAACAACAAAGGGGTCAGGTGGGTTTGGCCAGGACACTAGGTAGCTTCAGTAACAGAATCCCACTGAGAGTCATTATAGGAGAAAGGAACATACCTCACATCTTCCAAGAATTTGTCTAGTTCCAGCGCTGGGGACTGTGAGAATCTAGGACAAGGCAGAGCACCAATTTAGCTTTTACAACAATGTACAGTCACCCTTTAATGAGCCAACTGTCAGTTGCTTCCCATTCCAGCTAATATTCTGCTGACCTCAGTTCATTGCATGGAACCAGAGAAACTCAATTCCAAAACTCCACACTCCACCTCAAAGCTCTCTCCCGCCCATCAGTTCCCAACTATTCAAACTCACATCATACGGACACCATCGCGGTCAGCATGGTTGATTTCAGCCAGTACAGCACTCATGTCCAAGTTCTTGGTCATTTCTTCAAGTGCATTCTCAGGAATCATGTCTATCACAAAATAAAAGCTACACATTACACTATTTTTTTTCACTAACCCATTGTTATAACTAGTGGGTTTCCTAAGCATGCTTTCCATTTTTCCCCTGAAGAGTTTTAAAAAACCCGAGATTAAAAAAGCAGATTTAAGAAATACAGCAAAGGACTAACTCGTGAAGAAAGAAGGGAAAAAAGAAGCATGGCTATCCAGAATGCTGTACATGTGCCATAGAAATTTTAAAAAGAAATAAAATATAAATATTTCAGAACCATACATCTCCCTCACTTATCTGAGAATGGAAACTCAATCTTGAAAAAGTAGGTTGCTAATGTCTGAATATTAAGACTGTGAGGTACTAGGAGAAGATACGCGAGAACATCCAAAACTCATTTGTCAGGCTGATCAATCTTGCTTAGGTACAAAGGAAGCTATTATGGACTTCTCTGTACATCTTGGCTGCCTCCTTTTAGTAGATTTGATTTTTTTCTGCTTTGTAATTTCATTTCGGGGTATTTCTGGATATATTATGATGTATTAATTACTGAGCTACACATTCATTTCATACAAGATATTATTTTTATACACTAGTGAAGGGTTTTGCTCTTAACACTCGTCCACTGACTTCTGTTGGCTATACTCACGCTGATGGCCCACAATGCAATGGGCTGCCAAAAGTTTCAGAGAAGGTACTTCAAACAAAGCCTGATGGAAGAGAAGCTCACGAGCTGTGGGCCGTTTGCTAGGTTGTGGCTCCAGGCACTTCTGAATAAACTCCTAGGAAGGAAAAAGGAAACCAAATTTTGTGTTAGTTCTGAGAGCCAGGAAAAGAATGGAAGAGGAAAGCAAGGAAAAGAACTGAGGACAGTCTTACTCGTTGTAATGGATCCTCTAGCAATTGGATTGCATTATTAATAGCTTCTTGTGGCACATAGGAAGATTCGCCATTTCCCTGGATCTCTAGCACTGCCATCTATCAGCATAGAAACAGATGTCAATGGGTGATATCTTTAGACCTTTTATTAGAAAATTTCATCAGCCACCACAGAATTTTGTTTCTCATCATCCTACATGTGAACCAAAGCAACACCCCTATTTTTAGCTTTCCACTAGATTTTTACTATCAACAAAGAAATTGCTTTCATTTCAACCATTTAATTTTATTAGTCATATATTCCTTCAGACAAGAGCCAATCAGGATTCAAATCATATAAGGAATTTAGAAACAGTCTTAATTGGAAGAGAACAAGAGAAAAAAATAATGGAACCCTCTCTAGGCCTGTTCTCCAAACCCTGAACTTTTGTTCAGTTTTTGGGGTTGTGGGGATAGTTTTTGTTATAAACTATCCCCACATCTTCTTTGTTGAGTGAGGAAGATGACCTTGACAGAAATACAGAGAATAACTGCCAACACAAAGAGGGCTAAAACATTCCATAAGTCCCAAGAAAAGATAATATTTGGAAGAACATCAGGTAAATGATTCACTGAAGTACAGGTAGTTCCGATTAACAACAATGTGAGCTCCTCGATTATGTTGGAGGTGTTACTTGGAACCCTGACACAATGATTGGGAACAAGCAGTGGGGTTGTTAATAGGCAATGCTGTGCGACTGTGCCAATTTACAACAGCTCTAGCTGTAGTCATTAAGCAAATCCCACAAGCAGGTGTTAGGTGCAACATCACACGACCACCACTTGCAACCTCCTGCCAGTTTCCTGACTGACTTTGCCCATGGGAAGCTGGCAGCGAAGGTTGCAATGGGTAGAACAAGAAGCAATGGGTGGAAACTAATCAAGGAGAGGAGCAACTTAGAACTGAGGAGAAATTTCCTGACAATTAGAACAATTAATCAGTGGAACAGCTTGCCTCCAGAAGTTGTGAATGCCCCAACACCAGAAGTCTTTAACAAGATGTTGGATAGCCATTTGTCTGGAACGGTATAGGGTTTCCTGCCTAGGCAGGGGGTTGGACTAGAAGACCTCCAAGGTCCCTTCCAACTCTGCTATTGTATTGTATTAAATAGAAATCGCACGACTACTGGATGCTGCAGCTGTCAAAATTGTAAGGCAATTGCAAATTAAAATCACACAATTTCAGGGAACGCTGCGATGGTCACAACATCTAGGACTAGACCTAAGTCTTTTCATCAAGCACCACTGTAAATTCAAACAATCACTGAATAAATGGTTGTTAACCAAGAACGACCTGCGTAAGAAGGAAGATAAAGCACCGTCCAATTTGCCAGATAGTCATAATATGTACAGGTGGGGCTGACATCTTCATATACTAATTGTCCTCCACTTACCTCTAATGCACACATTCCAAAGGAGTAGATGTCTACTGCTGTAGTGACATGTGCAACTTCTGGAACAAAGAATAATAATCAGAAGCTATCTCTAAGGCAGAGAGAACAGACTGAGCACTTTTTCTGCAGTTAATACAGAACTACAGGTCCCAATACCCTCGTATTCGTACCGCCATACTCTGGAGCGAAGAAATGCAGGTTCTTCTGTTCCTCACGACATGTCTTCACATGATTGTTGATGGTATCCGGGGCAACTATAAGAGAAGAGAGTTGCAGGAGATCAGTCCCCATGCCTCTCTTTCCTTTCTGGTACATGGGACTTGAGGCAGCTCCATCTAGTTCATCTCTGCAAGGAACCCCAAACAAAGAAGCACTGCTCTTGTCCGGCCTCCCCAGCTTTCAGGCAGCACCACATCATAAGCGAACTCAGAAGCAAAAAGAAAGGATGCCTACATTCTTTTCCAGAAACCCCAGGACTTTTCTGCGTCAACTCAAAGCCAGGCAAAGCATCTTTCTAAAGAAACGGACATGAGAAGAAACTAGATTCCGTATGTGTACACACATACACACACACACACTATTAGAATAGGTGAGCAGCTTTTGTCCGCTGATGAAAGTAAAAGAGCCCATTCTCCCTAACATTTTTTTTTTATTTTTGATAGTTGCACCAAGCCACTATTTTTCCAGGCAGGCACAGATGCAGGCAAAGCTCAAAGTAAATCCCCAAAGCTGGTACTTTACCCATCACCTTGCAGTCTTATGCAAAGAAAGCAACTTCCCAATAACATGCCCAATTGTTCAACAACACTTACCCCCTATTTTTTTCACAACTTTCTCAGTTGATACCGCAAACAAAGCAATGCTTCTGGCAGCACCTGAACATTTATAATTTCTTTTAAAATATATTTAACTTGCTTATTAAAAGTCCCTAAACTGACCAGTAAATAAAGATAAACAAAACGGACAGTGAATGACTACTACCAATTCTTAAGAAGCTCCTGGCACAACAAGCCTCATTTTAGCCAAGATACAAAAATCATCCTGAGAAAATTTGGAAACCAATAAAGATCCACTGCAGACGGGGTATAACTTCGACTGACATAAAAAAAAAAAAGAAAATAACCTAAGCCAGCGTGTTTGCCATAGAGAACTTTTTGTCTGCTATGTTCTTCCAATATTAATTAGCTCAGTTAAAAAACTAGTGGGTGCCTTTGCACAAATGTGCAAAGCATGACTTTTTTTTTGCTTTTGTATGTGTGGCGTAGATATTCTGCAGTTAGTCTGTGTATTTAGTTTATTGTTATTTATATTGCATAGATCCAGGAAATGGATTAATTTATTAACTAAGATACATGTATTGTACAAATCCAGCCTTAGTCTGAAGGACGGTGCAAGCTAATTTATTCTATTTAAGCAGTGTTAAGAGATTTTAGCTCATGCCTCAACTTTTGATGAGAGGAATAGATTGAAAACGCCAGTTTTCAACAGCTGTTAGACCCTATTGACACAACAGAAAACCAGCATATGGAAGTCAAGCAGCAGAGGGTGCTTAAGACTAATGAGAAAGGTCAATGACTTCTGATGGAAGAGAATATTTGTAGCTCAGAGTTGAACTGTGGAGTCCTTGGTGCTCTGAGTTTGTGGTTTCCTTGCAGACATTTAATTACCAAACTAGATAACATCATCAGTACTACAAGGGAGTGAAGTATGCTCCCATTTTATATAGTAGTGGTTTCCTGTCAGTGTTAGTAGGAGTGTCTTGGTGGTTCCTTGATTAGGCTATTGTTTACTGTTAGTGTTTTTGTCCAAGTTGGTAGTTTCTTCATTATTGGGGTAATCTTGGTATTATCTCTATTCATCTGGGTGTTGATTGTTAGTGAGATGTTTTGGGTTTTTTGGTTTCCTTTTTCACTTTTTGATTGTCTCTTTTGAATGGTATGTAGATGTTGTTTATCTGTATGTGCCTGTTGATATTCCAAGTTGAGAGAGAGCACCAAGGACCCCACACAACTATTTCCACCGAACAGCCAAAAATGCTGGCAGGACCAGACTGAGCCCGTATACCTTAAACCACAGCCCAGAATAAAATTGATCTAGTAGCACCACTACTGTAGTCAAACAAATTAAAAATATGTTAGCTTTAGCTTAATGTCAAAGTCTACTCTCTAATTAAGTATTTCCAGGTATTTGCTCCAGTCTGAAATTTTCCTGCAATACGTTGCTTTCCTTACATCCATATACTTTCTGTGTCAACCAAAAATCTGATAAGTGCTTGAAAACAAGTTGAAAAAGCTTTTTACCAAGCAACCCTTTTTAGGTTCTCATTAAATAAAACCTTTTTCAGAATGAGAAACTGTAGTTGTAGCTCCTTCCAGTGATCACTGTTAGAAATTTTCATTCTATGTATGTACTATATTGCTTACCAAAATAGAGATGGAGATAAATAACAATAAAAATAACTCATTTTCCCATATTATTACCATTATTATTAATTATATTAATTTCTTGCTAATTATTTAAATTTATTAGCTGCCCAACTCCAGTGAATTCTACTTGTTAAAAAAGTAGTACTGTAGGGAATTACAGTTATTTTGGTATAAACTTTCATGTACTAATTTTCATTAATACTATTATAGTTCTTTAATTTGTTATACTCATGTTTCAATTTCTTTCTATACAATTATTAGTTCCTTTCATAACTATCTTTCTTTTCATTAATGCTACGGTTTACATACAGTTTTCTGGTGTTTTTCAGTATGCCAATAGTTAAATATGTACAATGTAACTTTGTTCTCAACAGACTAAAACTAATGCATACTCTGTACTTCTGGATGAACTCACTAGTAATTCCATCTCTTAACACTGCTTAGAGACTAATAAATGATTCTAGAGTTTTAATGTTGTAAGCTGCTCAAAGTCACTGCGTGTTGAGTTGTATACATTTATTTAATAAAAATTTAAAAATATAGTGTATTATAAATATACTACCGTGGTTTCCCAAAAATGACATGTCCTCATAATATAGCCATGCCACATTTTTCTGGTGGGCAAAAACATAAGCCCCCTCGCATATAAGCCCCTGGACAACCCCCCACATCTGGCCAGGCAGAGCGCCGCTCACCAATCTAGCAGTATCCCGAAGGTGCCAAGCCGCGGGAACCTGGGGGGAGGCAAAGGTGATTGCGTTGCTTGGCGCCTTCGGGATACCGCTAGGTTTGTGAGCAGCGCTGTGCTCAGCTGAAGAGGGGGGGGTTGCTGGGCGGCTGCTCTCTTGCGAGTGGGCTCCCAAAGAGCCAGGCACAGCCTCATGGGTGAATGGCTGTGTTGTGCTGTCGCAGCAGTGCAACACAGCC